TCCAGTTGCATTCCTATTGGTAAGTTCCAATAAAGTCAGCGGCTTAAATTGGAATATACCAATCCATGCCTATGCTTGTCTTTATTGGCTAAAGCCAATAGAAATGCACTTGGAATTAACACACTATCGACTAGCTAGACATTATTTGTTACTGAGCAGATGAGGATGGAAATGGGGACTCCAAACAATTAATGTTCAGCTATGCCGTTATTTATATATAAATAACTATAGTTAGCTCGCGTGCGTAAGCATCCGTGAGATGTATGGCTTATGCCGCGGCAGCCCGTATTCTAGCCGAAAGCGGGCCGGCTAGGGCAAGCCAAAGGATTTTGTAGCGGCATGCCGTATTCTGGCCGACTTCGGTTAGAACATGGCTAAACGGTACCGGGGTAACATAACGCGGGCCGGCTGGGGCAAGCCGAACCGCCGGTCAACCGCCTATGCCGAGCGAAGGCCGACTGTTTGCCGAGAGTTTGGTGCTTACTGGGCCCTGATAGCACAGTTTATTCTAAGAATGTTTTTTAAACCTTCCAGTGGGAATATTCTTAGGATCATGCTATATTTCTTCTAGTCATGTTCTGAGAATGTTTTTTAAACCTTCCAGTGAGAATATTCTTAGGATCATGCTATATTTCTTCTAGACATGTTCTAAGAATGTTTTTTAAATCTTCCAGTGAGAATATTCTTAGGATCATACTATATTTCTTCTAAAGAACAAGCTTAGAAGAAATATAGCATAATCCTAAGAATATTCTCACTGGCCTATAGGCAGGTTCTTAGAAGGTGCAAAGTTTAGTGGTAAAAATTAACCCACTCTAAACATATGCTTAGAATGTTGAGAAAGTAATTGCTATAGAAAGTTCATTTAGGAATATTCCTGAAACATTCTGTTAAGCATATTCAGTTCAGTTTATTTGTCCCATTTTTTTCTCAGTGTAGGTACCTATATAATAGTAAAATATACCATAATCTACGTATAAAGGTACCTATACTTAGTATTAAATACTAAGTAAAAAACACAACGCAAAATATTTTTTTATAGTTATTTGTCAAATTAAAACAATATTCGATAACAAAAATACTTTTACTATAGGTATCTAAATTATCCGGCTTTTACATAAAATCTTCTATCCAACTTAAATACAATGAAAAATGTTTTTTTTATGAAGAACTATTTGGTTTTATCTTTTATGAAGAATTATTTTATAAGGAAATATTTTGTTTTTTAATATTTTATTTTGTTAAAAATAAATATTCATTAATTTGTATACCGATTTTTTATATCTGAATTAACATTTTTATGTATAATAATCCTAACTATCTTCAACTTCAATCTAATCTGACATCCCACAAAATTTTACAATTTTACTTTTTATGAAATAATGTCATACAACTTATGGTTTAGAGGTAAAATTGTTTATTCAATATTTTTAAATAAATATATATTAATATACGACATATGTCGCAAATTTTTTTAAGGGGACAACAAATACATTTCACATATTATGACAGTGAGGCGTATTTGTCGCCTCCTGAAGAATTTTACGAATGTAGAATTCAACATATTAGAACGTGGGTAGGTATCTGACATATTTGGAAATATTCTCAAAAGCTTCCTAGAAGCTCCATAAGAAACCTTCTAAGAACATTCCAAAAACGTATTCTTAAAATGTTCTTAGAATGCTTTTTAGGAAGGTTTTAAGAAGCTTCTAAAAATCTAATTTCATCATTAAAAGGGTATCTATTGAATGTTTTAAAAGTCCCTAAGAACATTCTTAGCAATAAGGGAAGGTTCTAAGTATATTCCATTATTCCGGGTCATATCTTCTTAGAAGATTCTTGGAATCAAATTTTGCTATCAGGGCAAGCTAGCCGGCCCAAATACGTTTTGCCGAATCGGCCGCGTGCGCCCCGACACACGTATTTCTTCCGGCGTGTAGCACGGGCATGTCCGCCTGGCCAACTGTCGGGCATATCCGCCTGGCCGAATGTCGGCTATGTTTACTCGGCCGAGTGTCGGCTGTGTATAGTTGGCCAAGTGCCGGCCAAAACCGCCTGGCCATTCAAAAAAAGCCTATAGACGTCCTGGAGAGGTATATCCTATAAGTTCAGTCCTGAAATTTTCTGAATGGCCAGATACTTTTTTAACAAACTTGACTAGCTAGACATAATTCGATACTGAGCAGATGAGGATGGAGATGCATGGGGACTCCATACAATTAATGTTCAGCTATGCCATTACGGACGCACACTTCCAACTAAATATTGCAACCAATCGCTATTTATAGTTAGCTCGCGTGCGTAAGCAGCAGTGAGATGTACCGTTTATGCTGCGGCAGGCCGTATTCTAGCCGAAAGCGGGCCGGCTAGGGCAAGCCGAAAGATTTTGCAGCGGCATGCCGTATTCTGGCCTACTTCTGTTAGAACATGGCTAAACGGTACCGGGGTAACATAACGCGGGCCGGCTGGGTCAAGCCGAACCGCCTGTCAACCGTCTATGCCGAGCGAAGGCCGACTGTTTGGTGCTTACTGGGGATACATAGCCTATGTAACATAGGTATAACTTACTAACTCAAAAAAAGTAATAAAATTACTAGGTTATAATCATTTTTTTGTCTTTCTTGCAAAGGATGTTTGCAGGCATGGTCGAAATCAATATAATTTATGTCAATTTTTTTATTTTGTCCGCTGTAACCACCATCCCGGACAACAATCGGGATTTCCTGGTGAAATCATGATGATATCACAACGTGATTTTTTTTGTCACGCCGTGATATCCTGAGTGCATACACATGCTTCATCACAGTGATATCATGTAGAACTCACGGTGTGATTTTTGCAAAATTTGCGCATGCGTAATAGCCCTTCGAACTGCGAATTTAAAACCTAGTTTGTTACCTGTTGATTCAACATAACTTTTCTCTTAGTGTACGAACGTGGCGCAAAAATGATTATCAAAACACCGTTGGCATAAAAAATCACGACATGATTTTTTATGCCATCGGACATGTTAGGATATTTATTTTGCGCCACATTTGTACATTGTGAGAAAAAGTATGTTAACAATTGAATTAACAGTTTTTGCGGTTAAATACATTTAACATTTTTTTGAATGTAAATTAACTATTAATTTAATTCCAAAAAAATATTTAATCTATTTAACCACAAAAACTGTTGATTCAATATAATATATTGAATATATATTATATGTCAGTTTACTTTTTCCCCTAATGTACGAATGTGGTGCAAAAATAAATATCCAAACACCGATGGCATAAAAAATCACGACATGATTTTTTATGCTATCGGTGCTTGGGCATAAAAAATCACGACATGATTTTTTATGCCATCGGACATCTTTGGATATTTATTTTTGTGCCACATTCGTACAGTGTGAGAAAAAGTATGTCAACAATTGAATTAACAGTTTTTGCGGTTAAATACATTTAACATTTTTTTGAATGTAAATTAACTAGGTATTAATTTAAATCCAAAAAAATATTGAATGTTTTTATTTAACCACAAAAACTGTTGATTCAATATATATGTAGGTATTCTTTTTCTCTCAATGTACGAATGTGGCGCAAAAATAAATATCCAAACACCGATGGCATAAAAAATCACGACATGATTTTTTTATGCCATCGGTGATTCTCACGCCATTGTACCTAAACCTTACACATACAAACATTTTTTTAAGGTATAAGCACACACCACTATAAATACACAACTACCACTAAGCACAGAAACTCATACATTATAAAAGAAACCGATTAATAAAAAAATGACATTAAATAGCGTCCAGGCTTGTTTGTTCGAAAAAGGACTGCGTTCGTTGGTTTTTCGCAGCTACAAGAGAGCCCTCTTGCGATATTTTAAAGTATTGGGAATAATCAATTAGCAGATTCCTTTTTAGAATCTCACACTGGGAATGCCCAATTGAATTCAATTGGAAATTACCTATGGGCAGCTTTAACCAATCGAAATCACTAAAAAACAGTAGAATCCTAATCAGACTTTTCCATCATGGAAAATACCAGTAAAAACCAATTTCTGTTTTATATCTCCCAATTAAACCCTGCAAGTCCAATTCAGACCTATAGGTATGAAGTATTGGTTAGTAGGGTTAGTTAACCAGTAATTGACCAGTTAAGGAAATTTTCGTGAATAAATTATTATATTTTCCTCTATTTTTAGTTTAAAATAAAATAAAAAATATCATTGAGTTTAATTTTGTTTTAAGATTTGATAACAGCTGACTAAAAAAGAAAAAGAGTTTCTATGCCGACAAAAAAAAATTTAATGCACGAAAATTCATGATTTTCCAGTGGTTGACCAATGCCTTGTAAGCAGATATCATTAATAAAACTGTGCCATCTAGAAGTTAAGGGGTAAAACACTATGCAAATAATATAAGTTTTTAATTATTTAATACAGGGACCTTGCTTTTATCATTTAATCGGTTAATTGGTCAATAACTGGTTGATGGTCAATTACTGGTTAACTGACCCTATCAATATATTGATACTAACCATGGTTGCAATACTTCAATTGGTTTCTATAAGGAATTAATCGGTAATTTACAACAGGGTTATTAACACTATATATATATTGTAATAAATATTTTTGGTCAAAACAAATTATTGTATTTTCTTTTAATAGGTAATAAAAAAAAATATTTCTATATATTTTTTATAATATTGCTATTATTGGTGTATTTGCGCGGCTACTACTCATCGAGTGACGTAATGCGCGGAACGAATGAAAACTCGTCCACGGGAGCATCCACTGGATGCCATCCAGCCCTGATTACTGGTCAAAAAAATTTAACTATACCTAAAATATGGCATACCGTTATTGCGCTATTTTCGGGACACCCTTTATATTGTATAGCTCACAATTTTATCGTTGAGTGAGGGCCAAACCAAGGCAATCTGATTTCTCAATCAACGATTTTATACTGATGGCGGTAATTTGCAGGAAATTAAAAATTGAGTTATTTGGTAATACTTATTGGTATATTATTTATAAAGTACATCACAAAATTCATATGAAAATAATGTATGCTTATTGCTTAATAAAATATAAACAACCTATACTCCATTTAAATAGGTCGAAAACAAAATACATAATCTACTGAAAAAGCAATGTAACGCAAAAAAATATATAGGCATTTATAAAAATTATGTATTCTAACTTTCTACAGGTAGACATTTAAGTAGATTTTAATTACTGCGCGTTACAATTTTAAACTTCAGGAGCAAACTATGCCTAAATAGATTTTTAAGATTGTTAAACAATAAATATTAGTAAAATTTAATATACTGTTTGGGCATATTTAGATTCTGAATAGATTGAACCGCTCACGACCTATTTAAATCAAAGTGCATCACAACTATTAGTATAAAATTAAAACAAAAACTACACTTTTATAAATCCTATATTAAGTTTATAAAATATTTTTATAAATAAAACATTTCATAATAGTTATATATATTTTTTTTTATATACGGGCATCTCTTGAAATATCCAAGAAATTAACATGAAGAGCCGAAACGAAGTTACGACGCCTGGTTATTCCGGTTGCGGTGAGATCCGGATTCCTCTGATTTACCTGCGAAAACAAAATCAATCATTCACTTAAAAAAATCCAAGCCATCATTTTTTGTCGATTCATAATTGTAATGTTCCAATATATTAACAGCAAAGCATAGCAAACTGCAAATGATAATAAAACTTAAGAGTAAATTTAATTCAATGCTAGTGAAGAATTAAAATTAATCTTAGTGTTCTTCCCACAAGTTGCTACTCTGAAAATAAATCTGCGGTTAAACTTTGAAAAGAAAATAAAGATTATATACACAAACTTTTGTTTTTATTAAAGATTTATGTCATACAATGGAAGTACACAACGCCTCCTTCACTCATACAAATACATTAACTTAGAACTATGATTACAATATACTATTTTTAAATAAAATCATTAAACATAATACAGAAAGGTATAAATTGCTCACTTTACTTCTGAAGACAAGGTTTTTGTTAGTTACTCTAAAAATTTATATCATTAATATCAAAAAATAAAAATAACTCTTGTATTTATGTCAAACATAAAAGGTTTTTTTGTACGTGTATTGATGATATTTTCCAAATAACGCCGACTGGTTGATCAAAATGGAATGATTGGAAAAATTCCCTTAAAGATGAAGACAGAACATCTGGAACAAACCTTTCCTTTAGTTTATTTGTTGTAAATAGCTTTGGTAAAAACGTTATTATTTAAAATAAAAACCTACCTGAACAATACATAATCACATCTACAATTAATAGGGTTGATGCCTTTGGTTGCGTCCGCCGGCACCGCCGCCACCACCTCTTTGTTTTCCTTGGTAGCCGCCGCCGCCGCCGCCACTGGATCCACCTGAAAAGGAAAAGCAGTATAAAAATTTTAATATTATGAGATCCTACTCACTATAGTTTATTTAACTCTAATTTATTCTCGCCACCTGCGTTGTCATTTGGCACTTTGTCTGTTTCTTCTGTATGTTTAATAATTATTTTATTTTTTTTTTGTATTTAGTTCAGACATTCACACTTTGTGTTTCTGTTTAGCTGCAAGGACTAGCCAAACATCCATACACTTCTTTCTCATGTTAATTTGCTGATAAAAAATGTACTTGTGATTGATTAAATACATTTTTTTAACGCAGGTCACGAACCTAACGCAATAATTTAATCGAAATTTAGCGCATAAACGATGTCCAAAACATAATTAAAAAAACATTTTAACAAAAAATTATTCTACAGGCAAAATGTTGAAAATAAAAAAAGGAAATAAAATCAAAATTTCAAAAAGGCTTGCGTATCCTATGATGGTTAAAGTTGAAAATATTGATTTTAAAACCTATAAACCTAAAATGGATTCAAGTAAAATTAAAAATACATCCAAAATAATGAACATGGAATCCATAAATAATAAAATAATGCAATATTACATAAAGCACAAGCATTACAGATTCAACAAATAAATACAAAATACTGTTTTTGGATAGACACAGACAGCAGTTTGCATTGGTCATGGTTGGCTGGGGCAATATTAATAAAATCAGAAGTCACAGCTAGGGTTTTAAAGTGTCAAAAACGAGAAAAAGGGAGTCCAATTACAAAATTATAATTTTATAAATTGATGTCAAATAAAACGATTAATCTATTAAAATGAAATTCTACTATTTGAATTAGTACCACCATTTTTTACTAATAAGATAGTCGTTTTCACTTATAAATAGTTATTTTTTACTATGTAGATAGTTAAAGTTTGACTAATTTAAGATTAGTCACCATCTTTGACTATTTCTGAGAGTTAAAATTAACGCGGCCAACAAAGTAATATTTGAATTAAATGCATACAAGCTCCATAGTTAAATGGTCCATAAAAACAAACAAAGATGGAAAAAGTTTGGCTCAAAACAGCAACACAAAGAATATATTCAACTTTAAAATATTATGAACAATATTTATTGTCAAATAAAATTGATTTTTATAAGAGCGACTGATAGCCACATGCGTCATGACAACAGCTTGACTATGACAGACCAGAGTTCAATCCTCAGCTGGGTCAAAACTATTTTAAATTTAAATCTACTAATTTGACTATTTCATTCAGTAGAATTTTACTAATTATTTGTGATTCGCTATGACAATTAGTTATTTTTGACTAATTCATTTTAAGAGAGCACCATACATGATTTTTTGGGGCCCGTTTGAATATGCTTACTGAATTAAAATGAAAGGAATGAGTATTATAATCATAATATATGATCAGCATCTTAGTGTACGATTATTATACGTAAATATTTGTAAATTTTCAGAAAAAATTACTTTTGCATATTTTTCGTATAACCCTTTGAATAAAATTCCCAATTTAAAAAAAAATTTCCCGCCGGTTTCATTTTTCCGGAAATTTTAAAACCCTAGTCACAGCCCTATTAACTATGACCAGAGCAAGATTTTAATAGTTAAAATGTTTATATTTGCAGAGGATAGATTAGTTTTTATTGTGATTTTTGTATAAACTTTGATTCCTTAAAATTTGAGAAGAAAATTAATAAAATCACCTTGATAAAAACTAAGATAAAAAATAAAGGAACCCAATTTACAACAAATAGTTAAAAACACCACCAAAAGTACCTTTTCCGCGGTTGCTACTACTGCGTCCGCCACCATATCCTCCATCGTTGTAACCATATCCATGGTCTGCATTTAAGCAATAAACAAATTAAACTTGATGCATTTTTAAACTTTTAAATATAGATAAAGTCCATTTAATTTTCTATGGGTTCTCTGTATATTTTATTGCAAGAAAAATAAAGTAGAAGAAAATTAATTATAAATGAACCTTAACTTTGTTCTTATAAAAAGCAACACTGGAAGGGATTGGTAAAAACGTAATGCTGAAATAACGGGTTTGCGTGCAGTAAGAGAAATCGTGCAAAATTGGTGGTCAAAAAATAACATGTATGGGTGAAAATAATTAGAAAACACATTATGAAAATGAGTTTCAACAAATGCTTTATTCAAGCCCATAGAGGTATTCACAATGTCTTTTCATATTGAATGCATCTATAAACATGCAGATTAAAAAGTAGGAACAAAACAATTGTCGACTAAAAAATAGACACATAAACACGTAAAAATGTGTTTGGTAAATACTGTGTAAAAAACGCCGGACCTGTACATTTTATACAAAATAAACGGTTGTGGATAAAATTAATAATCTGAACTAAACTAACTAACGCCTGTCGGAGTATTTACCATAGTTGCCGTAGTTGGAGTAATCGTATCCGCCGTAGCCTCCATATCCGCCGCCACCGTAGTAATCGTAGCCGCTGCCGCCATAACCGTCGTAGCCGCTGCCGTAGCCGCCTTGGCCGTAACCGCCGTAGGCACCACCGCCGTAACCCTGGTTCCAGTTTTGGCCACCGTAGCCGCCCCTTCCTCTACCGCGGGTACCGCCGCCACGACCGCCCATCATTCTCCCGCCACGGCTCATGCCTCCCATCTGGTCGGGTTTGGGTGTGGCTTTCTTAACATCTACCTGGAAAACACAAAATTTTTCATTAATTTCAGAAAAAACACCAAAGTATATTTTTAATTATCAACAAAAACATCAGATATGGAGTGTCTTCTCTAAACCATCAGAAGCAGAACTGACAAAGTCAATCATCATAAAAACTCTTTAATTAAAGGGTAACATGCAGTTTGAATTTTCAAAAAATAGTTTTCTTAAAGTGATTTAAACCCGACGACTCACAGTGGTCCCTAATCCCGAAAAAGCTAGCCAAAAGTCGGTAAAAATGAGGCCTTAATTTTAGGGATGCACCGGATCGGGTATTTTGCCGATCCGGCCGGAACCGGAATTTCAGCCGCTGGCCGGACCGGATTGCCGGAATTCCGGCCGGATCGGGACCTAAATTTAAAATGTATGTGCATGCCTATTTTTATACGTAAAACATTGAAAATATTGAGGCTGATTTATTTTTACTTTTTTTAAAACTAGCTACAGTATGCAGAGTGTTTATTACTATTAATTTTACCTAGATAGAAATTACTGTTTATTAAAATATTAATTTTTAGTTAGCGTTAACAAAATTAAAACAATTCTACTCATTCAATTGGAGAATAGCAGCCACCTGCCAATAATAAAAAAAATAAAAAGAAGTCGGGGAACCACAGCAAGGAAACACGCACACCCTTCTCTGTTGACCAATTACAAAATATATCTGGAAAGCGATCCGGCCGGAGCGATCCGGCCGGAACGGTAGTTCCGGCCAACTGGCCGGATTTAGTGGTACCGCCGGAATTCCGGTGCATCCCTACTTAATTTATTATTTAATAATCAGGCCAATTCACCAACATGAGTCGTTAACGTAAGCCACTAGAATTAGTGATTATAGTTATATCCAATCCGTCTGATGGACCTGAATGTCTCTAACGCAGAGGTCAATTGAACACAATCCCAAAGTAGGATCTAAGTAAAATACAGGTTTTTTAACTTGTTTTTTAAACAACTGGTAAAGATAAATTTAAAGGTTATTATTTTTAAGTATAACTTAACTATTCAAACAAACTTATTGATAATATAACTTACAAATTACGGCGGGTTCATATCATTAATTTATTTCATAATTCACAATTTAGTGCATAAGCATAAAAGTTAAATTGCACTGTCTGATATGAAACAGTTTAAGGCGTAACTCACAATTTAGTGTTTATTGAATAACCTTGAAAGTTTACAAAATTTATATATAAATATATAAGGAATTATAAATAAAATTAAACCGCGCATGTGCCAATTTTTCTCTCTCCATTTTATAAGGTTATGATTAATTTGTGCCTTAAGAAATACTACAAAGTTTCTACATAACATGAATTTCAATGATAAATTTTGTGTCACATGCAACTTTTAATAATTTATATTGTCATTTTAAAAAATAAAAATATTTACTAAATTATTGAATTTTATAAACCAGATTTTAAAGTTATGTATTATGTATGAAATTATGCATTAAATTAACAATTGAGTTATGAAATAAATTGTAAACTAAATTATCAATTGTTGTATAAACCCACCTTTAAATATTTGTTTTTTTATTTTCAATTTAAACTAATAATTTAAGTTGGGTTCAGTTTAAAAGTAGGTTATTTTAGAAGTTACATAACATATATCTGTACCTCAGAGCCAAATTATTTCAAGTCCAATTATTCATTTACGAGAAATTCCACTTTGAAGAATTTTAAAGTAAATTTTATTTTATAGAGTATACTGTGCATATATGTACATATCTTTTAAGATTGATATTCAGAGACATTGTATTTCAAAGATTTGTAAACAGATGTATAGATAACCATAGTTAATATATACTTAAACCGGTTCATTTTCATAGAAAAAGTAGAAAAGAGCAAAAATAAGTTATATTAACTCAACCTAACCATAATTTAATTACTCACTTATTACAAAATAACGTTAATTTAACGTTTTAGCACAATATTATTTAAATCAATTATGCTACTTGGGTAACCTGCATCTTTTCGAGATCGCCGTGTCACAAAAATACGCACTTCAATATTAGGCGCATTTAAGTAAATGCGGTTAAGTTTTGCAAAATGTTTGAATCTGAACGAAAAATAAATAAGTAAAAAGTTATGTGAAAATTTCTAATCAATTCAATAAATAAATTTAAAGATACCCTGCAAACTGTAGGGCCCTTTTACTATTCATAGGCAGCTGTAAATCTTTAAATCACGGTTGGCATAAATTATTAATTCACATTGACAAAATTAAAAAGAGTAAAAATAATAAAATAATATAGGTAAAATTCAATCTGAAGGGTTTTATTACAATTTTCGGCAAATTTAATTTAATTCACGACTAATAAAGTGCAGGTTGTACTTACTTCCTTATCTTTAATAGTTTGCTTTGGTGTTTTCAGGAGGTCGTTTACTACTTGTTCAGATTCAAATGTGATGAAGCAGAATCCTTTTCTTTGATTCTTTGTCTTGTCAAATGGCATTTCAACTTCAATGATCTAAATAAAGAAAATAACATAAACACCAACAAAACTACAAGACAATTTGTTATTAACTTACTGTTCCAAATTGGCCAAAATAGTTTTTGATGTCATCGTCAGTGAGATCTGTGGTTAGTCCGCCCACGAAAATTTTTCCATGGCGGGCTTTCGCTTTTTTTGGATCAACTTTTTTGTTGTTAATGTTGTGCTCGCCAGCTGCGACGACTTTGTCAATCGATTCAGCATTGTTGAAGACGATGAAGGCGAATCCCCTGGATCTGCCAGTGTTTGGGTCAGTCTTTACATTTATGCTTTCAATTTCACCATATTGACCAAAGTGATCTCTTAGTTCCTCTAAAAAATAACCGTACCATTTAATTTAAATTCGAAAAATCAAACATATGCTTGATTTTTAATATTTTATCAGGTGTGAAATTGTCGTCAAATATACTCAGTAGCAGAACTGACTTTTAGTCTTCATCATAAAAATAAATAAAGGGTACCAAATCTATTTTTTGATTTACAAAATTTTGATTATTTGAAATTAGTTAATAGGATAAATAATTTAACAAAATCTTAAAATGTTGAAAACAAACATGCTGTGCTGGCGCCAACCACAAAGTATTAAGTAAATTCCTAAAGAGCAGTTTTTGAGTTATACTTTAAAAAAAAATATGTTAATATTGTGGATGTCCAAAGATTAAATAAATCCACATATCAAGGGCATCAAATCGGAGGGCGCCAATTAAAAAAATTACAGAATTCTAAATATTTAGTAGTATTTTCACATGTAGTATCATGATTTTTTTTATTATGAGGCAAAATGCCTACCTGATTTTATGCTATTGATATAATAGGGTTGTTAGAGAAACAAACCAAATAAAAGAGATGACATGGCATGCAATATATTTTATTTATACATCAGGGCTGGCAAATATGATATTTATATAAATATCCAAATATCTGATATATCAATATAATATATTATATCTGACATATATCAAAATTTAGATATAGGTATATTTCTTTTTTTTAATTATACTATTTTCTGCTTAGAGAATTAAATATAAACATGTAAATTTGTATTTCAATTCTATACTTTTCAATAGAAGTTGCTATCACAATAACAAGTTTTTTTAGTACTATAATGTAAAATGTAGGTAAAAAATACAAGTTTATGAATATAAATACATAATATATTTTTGCTTTTGCAACTAAAAACAAAAAATTTAAAAACTACAACAGCCAATAGAAAACAACTAAAATCTGGCTAATGGAAGATCCAGATTTATACAAATTTGTAAAGAAATTTTTAAAATGTTTCTGTTGCTCTAGCCAAACTCCATCAAGATCACGTTTCTTTAAATGGTCTCTGTTGCGCAAATATTTAAAAATATTAATTTATATCAGGATAAATATCGTCGCATAAATATGATATTTATCAAGATATACAGTGTGACCCATTTGTTTGCGACTCACCAGTGTAAAATCTTTATTTATTGTGCGATTTTAACCGGATTTGTTTTAAAATGTTTATCTTGATAAACTGTATTTTTGGAGCAAAATATGCCATATGAGTACAAAATACAAGGCCTTCTATGTCAGTTTTTAAGAGTAGATTTTTAAGAATTTATATTATCCATTTTTTTTAACAAAATCTAAGCATAGCACTGGATTCACCACCCCATAAAACGACCCTTTACTAAATTTTATTGAAAAATTTTAAGTAGAAAAATGCACAATAATAACTACAAAAATTTATTCTGTCAAGTTATTTATTAAAAAACATTGAAATAAAATTAAACTTAGTAATAGCACCATGTTACTATTAGTTTAATTTTATTTCAATATTTTTTTCATGGATAACTTGACAAAATAAATTTTTGTAGTTATTATTGTGCATTTTTCTACTTCAATTTTTTCAATAAAATTTAGTATAGGGTCTTTTGAGGGGTGGTGAATCCAGTGCCGTGCTTAGATTTTGTTTAAAAAAATCGCTAATATGAATTCCTAAAAATTTACTCTTAAAAACTGACATAGTAGGCCTTGTACTTTGTAAAAATATGGCGTTTTTTTTTTTGCTTCAAAATTAGTTTATCAAGATCTACACTTGAAAAAACAAATCCGGTTAAAATCGCACAATAAATAAAGATTTTACAGGGGTGAGTCGCAAACAACTGTGTCACACCATATCAGGATATTTATCTCTGATATATAACCTGCCAGCCTTGTTATGCATACCCACATTTTCCAAAAAATTAAAAGTAAATTATTTTAACTTTAAACCCCATTAAGTATTTTAAAAAAACCTTCAAACTCTAAAACCACTCATCCAAAAAATATGATATGGCGCCAGTACACCATTTTCTGTAGTATTTGTACAGTATATTGATAAAATATTAAGAAAAAGTTTTTTATAAAGGTTATATTGTACTTACTATCTGTTGTTTCCCAACTTAAACCACCAACAAACAATTTTCTGCAAATAAAAATTGATGCGTTAAAATGATTGAAAATTTGAATTGTCTCCTAAGCATTACTTTAAATTAATTTAATAATGCTTAAAATGAAATTTAACAAAATAAATTTACAAGAGCAAAAATGTATCAAATAACAAATCAACAAAATAATTATTCCTAGTGCAATCAAATGGATCTCTGCAATAACAAAAGTAATCATCTGAAATTTACATTTAGGTAGCTAGAATCGTTATAAGGAATAAATATCTAAGATCAAAAAATATTAAATGCATCATTATCATTATCATTAAGGGACATCTGAATGATTGGCAAAAAGTTAAACTACATATTCGTTCAGTTTACTAAGTGTTTGGCAGAAGAATATGCCCAAGGATAAATACCATGGGTCCCAGAGCTGCAAGTCCACCCTCCATTATCCATGTTCCTCACAGCGGACGAAGCCACCTGGAGAAAAGGAAGTTTGTTTAAAATGGATAAGCTCGACATCATTATGTGGCATCCTAAACCGGTCCCGAATTTTTAGACTTTATTCATTTTACTTTAATATTAATTAATATTATCCACTGAAAAAAACTATTACACAAACTACCGATTTGTTTAAAAAAAATATTAGCTGAAAATAAGACAACAACAATGCATTTACCTTGAACAATTTTAATATGTATACAACTGGAAAATTCAAAATGCGCGCCAATTATTTCAAGTGCGTCATCCGCCATTTTCTTCGCTTTAAACAAAGACACCTTTGAGCTTTATTAGATACGCCAAATTAGGTACAATTTTTATGAAAAATACATATAAATCGGTAAAGATCCCAAGCTAAATAAATAAATTAAGTTAATAAATAACAAAAAAGTTACTTCTACTCGGAGATGATCCCAGATTCAAAGATGCGCATTTACAGACGGCTTCTACTGTACAAGAAAAAACTAACAAAATAAATCGGGGAAAAATGTATATTTATAAAAAAATATTAGAATTATTACAAAATTAGAGAGAAAACTTACCTATCGTCATCACGACCGGGTGTATCTGCGCTACCACTGTCTGCGGGTGGAGCGTCACCGCCTCCGTTTTGTCCATTTAATTCGTTACTCTGGAATTCATCTTTTGAAAAGTCTTCTCCATTTTCCATAGGACAGTCTTGCGTTGCAGCCATAATTTCTGTCTATATATTTATAAAGTAACTTATAAAACTAAACAGTCTGACACTACACGTCCACCTCACTTGAGAACAGGAAGAGAAGAGGAGGAAAAGCCGGCCGCCTGCGATCGTTACAGACGAACATCCGCTACGTCAGAACCGGCTCGTTTAGACCAATAAGGGAGCAGTATTTGGATAGCGGGAACTACATCTATGCGCGTATAAGTTCATAAGCGTTGCCATTGGTCTGAACCATCAGAATAATAATCAATGTTTAAAAAGCGCGAATTTTAAATAGTTATGTGGGTAACAACAACAATAAAGATGAATACTAATAAAGCGTTAGAAAATAGCGGGAAAAGTTATATTGACTTGTTATACGTTATCGTATTATTACTATTGCGTTCCAATAAGTTATATAAATAACTTATTTCTTAACCTTGATTTAAAGTTTAAAAAGGTTATTGCTCTTATCAATTAATGATTTTAAAAAATATTTTTTAATTCAATTGAAATTAAATTTATTAATTAATGAATATAATGCATTATATAATATAAAAATGTGGGAGTTTAGAAATTCACTTAAGATATATGTATATCTATATACCCAGCAAACACATAAGTCTGGTAATGTAATGGCCCATTACAGCGTTTAATGGTTAAATGATGGCATTTTTAACCCAAGCTGTTCTTGTACTGGGCCTCTACAGGAATTTTTCGTTAATAAATGTCCATTTAGACCAAAGGCTGTCGTGGTAAGGTCTTGCAATGGCCCTTTTCAGGCAATGATATGTATAATTTAACATTAAAGGCCCACATATGGCAATTATAAGTATCAAGTTAATGGAACTGTAACACACCATTACAGTGCCAAATGTTTTCCTTTGCTTTACACCATATTTACTAATGAATTGCCTCATGTTAGTGGTATTATGCATATGCATATAGAAAAATAATATAGGTTTTGAGATACCTATATTAATTAATTATCTAATAGGTGTATTTTATAATTAATTATTAATGAACTAAACAACTAGGTGGTACCTTTTTCAAGTAAGTATTTAATACTTAATTGGTATGTATTCTTTTACTAAAGTCGTTTTTTCGCGTAAATACCATGAAATACTATGGTCATTAAACTTAACCTTGGTTAATAGTTAAGGCATTTTTGCGTTTAGAGTGCGTTCAAAAATCCTAACTATGACGTCACAAATACCAGACCATAAAACTATATCGCTGAGCTAGTTATTCAACGTGGTTAATAGTCTTTCTCTTTTTAATATAAATATTTAATATGTTTATGTAGGAATAATGTTGTGTGCTAAACATATCTTCTCCAAAACATACCGCCAACCTTCGTCTTTTTCTTTGGGGTTCCATTCTAAATTTTGAGTTTCACAATAATAATTTTCGTATAAACGTTAAACACTGTTGGATTTTAATTATGGTAAACAACAGTGAAGAACTGTTTATATATAAAAAGAGGTATAGAAAAGGTAGGTATAAGAACTAGGGTTCATAGAAAAAGAATATACAAGGTAAAAGAAGAGGCAAAGAAATTTATTTACACCTGTAAAAGCATAGAAATTAAATATAAATAGGTAAAAACACATTTTAAAAATTATAGGTTATGAACAAGTAAACAAATGTCAAATGTTAGAAACCTAACCATGGTTATATGAATTAACTGTGACGTCATGACTTATTTAACCGTAGTATTTCATAGTATTTACGCGAAAAAACGACTTAATAATATTAAGTATGAGTATGAGTATGAGTATAAGAGACGTATAACCAGCCCCATTTCCTCTTGACTCTTAAACCCCGTACAGGCCTATGTTTACTTACGCCGATTTTTGTTCTTCCCCAGCAACTGCACGGCTTCACCCGTGTTTGCTGGGTGCGAATGTCCATTGCGTTCTGTACTGTCCCCTATTTGGGGCTCGAGAGCGAGAGGCGAATAGTTATAATAGCCGTTCCCGGGTTCGCCGGGCCTATGCTATACGCTCAGTGAGGTATGGATGAGGGACGGGAGGGAGTTGGTTTTTGGGGGACAATTACGCCGACTTAAAACTAAGTACGACGCGGAATCCCCCTAGACCAGTCGGTTAGTATTACTCCAAACATTTGGGATTACTATTTGGAGTTGGGGAGTTGTTATTACGCTGCAGGGGTGTAGTTTCCTAGTCGAGGTCTTCGTCTTGTTCATTATTGTCATTATCCGTGTCGGATAGTTCCTGAACTTGGTAAAGTGTGTCGGTTGTTTTTTTTTTATTTTATTTTATTTTTATTGTTGTTTAGTTGCTCCCAACTGGTCTTGTTACTTTGTGAGAAGTGCATGTATTGTGCTACGTGTCATGAAATGTGAAGCATGGTCTACCGATTTTTTTTGTCTTTAAGATCTAGTTTGAGGGTGGCTTGTAGTTTGTTGCGTTGTCTACGAGTGACGTGGACCCAGTGTTTAATTGGGCTACTCTTACCCTTTTGGTAATGGTTTTTCCCATTGGTACGATAATCGGCACACAAGATAAACTCCCCCGCAAAGAAATACAACCCCCCGCGACCCCCCCGGAAGACAATCCACACAACGGCAATCGTGCTACGACTACCGCCGTGTAGACCAACCCCCGTATAGGCCACGGGAGGCTGCACCCCCCCGCGGAGGAGCCCATCACTCGTGCCGAGCGTAAGGCCGCAATCACTGCGATAAGGCAGTTCCCAGTGGGGGTATTTTTTTTACTTTTACAAATTTTATAATTTTCTAAAAGTTCGCTTCTTTCTCTTTTACTTTTTTTTTTTATGATTAAATTATAATAATTATTGTTACATAATTATTACAATTATTGTAACTTAATTCCGAAAATTCGATAATTTTATTTACCCATATCGTTAATTTCAACTTTTACATCTGGCAATACTGCTATTCACACTCAACTTGTTTATGTTTTTTGTCTTCTTGCATATTTAGTTTATTTATTTATTTATCTTACGCCTTTTTCGATAGTTGTTTATGATTTGTCTGCTATGAGAAAATGAGGTTGTTTGTTTAAACTTAAGGAAATGTTCTTATTCTTTTTTAATTTAGTTTTTGAGACAATAAAAGAATTCTTAGTATTTTCTTTTTGCAACATTGTGAAATGCTTACATAAACATTGTGAAATGCTTTTATAAACATTTAGCGAATATACGGTAAGACATGCAATTGGAAAAAATAACTTAGCTTGAGTCCAGTAAATTTCGTGGAAGTGTCGTCTCTCTCACACCTTTTAACCAGGTCCAACACTTGAGGATTTAATCAATGGGGGAGGTACCACACACAATTTGCACTTTTTTGCACTTGGGACAGTTATCACGTTTAGAATCGATTGATTTTTTATTATTTTACGGCGTTAACCAGTTATCACGTTACTATCGTATACGCTGCTTAAGAGAGATCGATGAGCATATGCTTACACTTCAAGCGTCAAGAGCAGAATGGCTTTTACTAATAATATTAAGTAAAAATTAATTAATTTTTAGAAACGGTTAGGCTAAGATTTGAATTAGCCACTACAAAAGATATTTAAAATACTACGTATAAAAGCATGGTTAAGGGGAGCAATCGGCAGGGATGGTGGTCGTAAAAATCGAGAGAAAAAAAATCAATGAAATTATTAATTTTTCTTATGTTAATTTTTTTTTATTTACTGAAAGAAATTTGATTTTATTTTATAATATTTGTTAAGTTTTTTTTTAATTAAATATGTTATGTTATAATTATGTTTGAATTACATGTATTTTATAACACATTAAACACTAATTTTTTGAAAGTTTTAGCGACATTCCATGAAATTTTTGTCCCGACTGTTATCTATATAGTAAAGTATATAGTAAGGTATACCTATCTATTATGCTGGATTAAATTTGGTAGGTATATATTTATTAGGTCGGATATAACACGATATTCGGGAATTTTTATCCCTACCGTCAAAAATCGGTCGGGATAAAATATTTCAATTATCATGGAATATCCTTACCTAGTAAATATATAGGTACCACATTTAATCCGACATAATAGCTAGGTACTTTACTTATCCATTAAAGAATATTTCACTAACCACTATAGAATCTTTAACACCCCATATAAGAACCTTTAGCTTGCCACATTTGTACCTTTAACCTGCCATATCGGAACCTTTAGCGGTTCTTGTAAGTGTCTTTATCGATTGCCGTTACATGCCCATAAAAGGTGAACGCGACATAATATGTAGAGGTCCATTAAAGTCAGCCTTTATAGGGCCTTTAGTTTATTAAAGGCACGCGTTTAAAGGGCCATTACAGAACCTTTACGGTTGCACAGAGAAAAAAGATTATTTGAATTAAATAAATTTTATTTATATCAAATAAATTATTTATTTCGATATACCCAAATAAATGTTCTTTTGAATGTAAAAAAATATTTATTTGTTTTAATTTATTTAATTTAAAATTAATTTATTCAACGCAAACAAATATTATTAGTTTGTATGAAATAAAACCAAGTAAAAAACATTTTTTTAAATTAAAGAAATGTTTTTATTTACGTAAAACAGATAATTTATTTCATTTAAAATTAATTTATTTTACTTAAATACCTATAATATTTGTGTTAAAAACAATTTATTTGGATTAAGAGATATTTTTTTTTAAATTAATAAATTTTAATTTAAATTTAAGAAGAATTAGTTAATTTAATTTAGATTTATTTATTTAAATTAAATAATTATTATATTTGAATTAATAAAAATTATTTATTCAGATTAAAAGATATATTTTTTTAATTAATAATGTTTTCATCTAATCTAGTAATTAATATATATTGGTATATTGGGGAGTAAAAATAAATTAATTTTTTTATGAATAAACACTAATCTTTATTGCATAAAAGTCTTATAAATACATATAGGAAACCCTAAAATATACAAATACTTCACTAACTTAAAAAATTCTTATGTTAATTTTAACTTAATGTTAATGTGTGCTGCATAAATCCACCAGGGTCTGCAAATAATAATGATAAGTAATTATTTAAATTACTTACCTTTAAAAACAGGAATAAATTTCTCAAGACCCCATTCCTTTAAAAGGTCCTCCATAGT